TATATATATATATATATATATATATATATATATACATATACACACACACACATACAATGAGAATAACAACTAAATTATGATAACTGTATGTATTTTACAATGATACATATGATACGTGTATTAATGGTATTAACATTTCAAATAAATTTGTTTTATATAGTTGTAATATTATTTTTATTTCGTTGCAATATATTTATGTGCAAGATCTGTATGATAAAGTATCTTAATCAAATGTTGTTGAGCGCATTATAAAAACATATTATTTTGCTCGTTGCAATATATACATAATTTCTGAAAAATAAACTATTACATCAATGTTTCGTCTTTTTTTTACGCGTTGACGCAGATTGAAGTGTGTAAATTAGTTTGACAAATAAAAGTTTTGCTTGTGATTTTCTTTCTAAATAACACAAGTTCAAAAATTATTTATTTTAAAAATTTGCAAAGTTTCGTGTAATTGTCACTAGGCGGTGCCACATGTATACATACCATTACAAAAACGATTTGGAGATGCGTCTAGTCAATCTAAGTGTCTTCGCGCATTCTGTGCATCATGTAATGTGAACATAACCAAAAAAGAAAAAAAATTTACGGAATAACGGAAAATATTTATTGTTTATGGAAGGATGTAAGGACACACGTCGTTTAACGTGCATCAAGCTCGATTCGATGGTTCCGTGTTTTGAGATGGGAGATCACGCTGCGTGTCAAGTAATCGCAAACGTATTGGCCCATTTACAGAAGCCCATGATTCCATTACTAAATATAGGATTTATTTTTAGGTTGGAGCTAGTCGTAGTTTGAATCGGGAATCTGCTCCAAAATCAGATTTCTAGGAGGTTTGTAATCCATATCAGCGTAAACGCTGGCTATTTTTAGGTGACACGTTGTTCTCAATACGTATATCTTGTGTGTGGGAAGAGTTTTTTTTATTTTATAAATACTTTAAGTAAACGTCCATTAGCAACTATCAATTTTCTAAAACATCAGACGTAGGTGCAACGATAGTGTTTTCCACGTTTTCACAGCCATATGTAGTTACGAATTAAAATTAATGTTTTATAAATCTCACTTGCCATTATATTACATGTGTAGGAATAAAAATGGCGAATGATGTAATAATGAGAGGCAAAGACAGATTACAAGAGATCAGTATGAACGTGGAACAGAGTCACTTGGTGTATCTGCAAACGGACGATAGTCCTTTAAAGCTACAACAACGACATAAATTGGAAGGTATTGTTCATGTTATCAAATCATCTAATGTATATAATATCAACTTTTGTTATAAAATAACATTTTAGATATTATTACATATATTTCAGGCTTTATAAAGGAATACCTTTGTCTGGTACCCAACGAGACGAAATACGTATTTCAAGAAACAGCAGACATTTTGCACAGATCAGCGGCAACGGTGACAGATTTCAGCGGGTATAGAGCAGCGACAGCTTGGAGTGCAATTTCCTTGTACGCAGCTAATCTATTGGCTCAGCCTTGGCGAAAAGAATATAGGATAGTGAGGGTACGTGCCCGGAAAAATATTTTGTCATTAGTCTGTGTCTATGATTATATATAAATATTGTTTTTAACATGTTGAAATTCTTTGAATTGTTTTAGACATACAGCGGTTATTACAAACACGAAGTAGAGGCAAATTTAATCGGTGCCGAGTTAATGTTTGAGCAGATGGGCTACAAGCATACTGGTTTGGGTGTCGTGACTTTGGAAGGGCCAATCGATCCTGATAAGGTTTCAAATGTCAGTAGAGATGCTATTGTAGCTTTTGTGGAATGCCAGGTAACGGGAAAACAAATAGTCAATGCGCGTGATCGATCGATTAAATAAATAATACACGCGTCCAATATTGGTTGTAACGAGGTTGTAGGTGTGATTAAAAGTTGCTTCTAAATTGCAGATCTTAAAGCAGATATGGGAAAGCGTGTCACAGAAATACACCATCTCTTGGCTGGAGGTGTTGGAATTTCGTGAAAATCACGTTGGTACGCCAGAGCAGGCCATTCGAGCGCTAAATTATCGTTTCCTCGAGAAGATGCATCAGAATCGCGCAAAAGCCGATAGCTATAAGGACTACTATTCACAGCAAACGGGCATAGACGTTGTGCCGTTGCATCCACCTTATCACCACGTTGTGCATGCTACGTACAACGCAACAATGCCGTCAACCTGTCAGACAGATTACCGGCACATCGAAGATATGACCAACATGGCGATACCGGCTGCTAATTATCGGTACTATCAACCGATCAATCACGGTTTCATCACGTGTTGCACCAGTTATGGTTGTTTGCCCTCTCATGGGAACAAGTTTTACGGTAATAATGTACAACCGAATCCGTATTGCGCCACATTACCAGCGTATGCGGCCCGAGTGCCGACCGGGAGACTGATAGAACTCGACGTACCGGCGTCCGTGGCGACGTACGATAAGACGCACGCTCTTCGCAAACCCGTGTCCCACCGGATCGCGGACTTGGACGAGGTAGACTTTTACAGACGACAGTCGAGCGACGGAGATCCGTACGAACATGGTAAAACCGATAGAAAAACTGCTAGCAGATCGGCGTCCAGCATCGGAAGGGATGGTTATGATACATGGGACTTTGTGTACAGAAATCTCGAGAGCTTAGGTTACTACAAGGATCTTGATGATCGAGACGACGTCGTGCAACATAAGAAGGAACTGGATTCTATTCGCGCCAAACACAAAACTATTAGGCAAGCGGAGAACGAAGATAAGTATAACGCGCATAGATTGGAGAAGAAGAGAAGCGGTGGCAAGATCGAAACGAACGAAATTGATTCGTCCGAAACAAATGGTATGAGTCATCAGGATATTCTGCCTTTCAAAAAGAAATCCTCGTCCTTCGACCTGTCGGATTCGAATAGATATAATACCGATGCATATACGAGAGAAAAAGATAAAAAGCACAACAGTCAGACTTTGCCGATTCCACGCACGCACAAGTCCTCGGATCAGATAGCAAAGATTGCGGATTCCTTAAAAAATCTCGATATCGCGCAAATGAATAAGCAGAAGAAGGAAGAGGAGAAGGGTGAAAAAAGATGGAATTGTGCCACGTGTACATATTTGAATATGCCCGGCCGAGACATCTGCGAGATGTGCGCCAAATCGAGGTGCAAAGGGAACGAGGACAAGCCGCTCGCCAGCGGCGGCAAAGAATGTCCAAAATGTACGCTGGTAAACGAGAAAAACGTTTCTAACTGTGCGGCTTGTCATACCAGCCTGAAGGATTCTCCGACCTACATATAGACAGACTGAAACGACTGAAACTTTTCGCGAAAGAAAAGGTTCTCGCACATTTGCCACACGTTGCGGTTCGCGCAAAGGTATCATATATTGCGTGTAAGATATAAACGTATTAACCGAATGAACACGACGTACAACGCGGAGTCTTTTTTCAACGACCTAAAATGAAACGTGACGACAGAAAAGAGATAATATGTTTAAACACATATGAGTCTTTTGATCTATATATAGAGAAGGTACAAAGATATTTATTTAAAAAAAATCTCACGCAGAATAAGGAAAATCTTGTAATATAATGACTTTTTTTTTTTTTAACATTGTATTAGTATTATTATGTTATGGCCTATGGAGAATGAGTAACGAGTATCGGAATCATGTGTATCATATAACTAGCGTTATCGTAACATTCGATAGTTTGTCAAACCATTAAAGAATGAAATTTAATCAAATATCAGGCCAAAGCTTATAAAATTAATATTATCAAGATTAATTAAAAAATGCGCAAGACGCTAGGATGTTACTTATTCAAAAAGTATTTAATATTATACGCTTGTCGTTATATACATACATGTATAATTGTATACGTGTGCAATTTATTTTCTAACTTAAATTATTGCTCGGAACTTGAGAAAAACTGTATTCTTTGCAAAACAGATTGATTAAATTTAGCTTCTAAAAAGAGAATATTGCAATAAATTAAATAATTAAGTATTGTTGTCACAATGGATAAATTTTATATAGTGCCACTACACACGTGACGAAATTATTTTAAAAATTATGACTAATAGAAAAAGACAGAACTTCGGTTTGCAAATGGTAGTCTATGCAATGTTACAAACGGAAGGATTGTTTTTTAACGAGTTCTGCAAGAGGAAATTAGGCATTTGATGTAAAAATACAAGAATGTTAAACCTTTATCAGAATGTATTATACATATATAAAATTATTGCACTATTGGTTGCGGATTATTGTTATAACTACTATTATAATAATACACACATTGTGTGCTATATAACCAGAAAAAAAAACATTATAAACATAACAAGGATTTAATATAAATGAGTGCGTTCTACTATAGTTTGATGAAATTTTATCAATACGACAGAGCATCTATATATTATACATTATAACATACCAATATCGAAATTGTATACAAGTAGCTATTCTATTTATTTAAAAGTAATAATCACATATACTTATTTATTCATACATTCCTTGCTCGAAATGCGATCTGCTTATTACGTACTCTTTTGTTAGCGTATCTCTACAACAACTTTGTTTCATCTTGTTTAACATTGTTTTGGATTGTTAAATGTGTATATAATTTTATACGTACGTAAGATATGCACAGAATATTGTGTTTTCATACGTTTGTCGACCGTGCACAAAATGATACGTAACTGTATTGGCTTGTTAGTGTAAAGTATTTTAAGAAATAATGGAGAATTTTGCTCAATAGAAAAAAATCTATAACAAAATGCTTGAGCTAACGTACTTTGATTTATGTAAAACTCCATATCCAGCTTTTTTTTTATTAATAGCATAGTGTAGACCAGAGAGGTTTTTTTTATTAACTGTACTAACACGTAGCCTAATTTAATGCATCGGAATAATAGCAAAGATGATTCATGGCATGATATTAAAGCTTATATTGAGATATTAATAAAATAAGATACGTGGCACTTGAAAAATTGAAATTTAGTACAGTAATAGTCCTCGTGTTTTTCTTAAATAAGAGTACGCTCGTGTGCGCGATATAGCACAAATAATTTTTAAAACTATTTATAAAAGGCTGATATAACACAACCATAGTAGAACTGATATTTTTTCATCAACAAAATATATGAAAGTATGATAAATAAAGTAAACAATGAAAAGCATGCACGAACGGTTAAATCTTAACATCTTAGAGTTTATGTAAATTAAATAACGATCTGTTGTAATACAAGTAACAAATTTAATGTAATATGCATACATAGTATATTTCTGTAAAATTTTTATTAGAGATACAGTGTCAGAAAAAACACTTTTGTACAAAAACCAGATAAAATTATTTTTAATAGAATGCATGTATATTTAATTTATTAACACAAATAAACGTATATACCTGGGAAAATTAATCTTATTTAATCTGTCGAAGAAAGAAACGTTATGAGAACATTAGTTACTAGCTATTTTCATGGCTCTTTCTAAACATTTGGAAGCAGCTTGATGAATTTTTTTATCCATTTTATCTGCAACATAATAGAATTTTATTTGGTTAACAACCGAATATTAAATTATATATATGTATAACGGAAATTGATTGATACTTTTGATTACTTACAAATTTTATGTTTTCCTTTTATGGGAAATTGTATCGGTAACATGTAAGGATTCTCACATATAAAGACATATGGACTATCACTTTCTCCTTCTGGATATACGTCTCTATATTCTTTTTGAGATAGAACATCCGTCACTGTCGCGCAACCCAACAAGCAACTCGTGGGATAAACTTCGGGGAACTCTACATTTTCTAAAATTATCAAGATGACGTAAAGATACGTAAAGATAAGATAAATATTTCAAGATCAATATCATTTACGAACCATTTTTTAATTTGCGGTAGGCATGCTTTATATTAGATATTTCTTCAGAGGAAGGTACCTTTGCAGCCGATGCTATCCATAATCTTCCTCTATGTGAAGAATACCAACTTCTACCCTCGTGACTAATAAACGTCAAAATCATGTTAATCATTGATTTTTTCTGATTACATGTATTATTTTGAAATACATCACTCACGTTTTTATTCCTGCCACCAGCAAGGATGCATAAGGCTGATGCATGCTTAAACATAGGCCTTGGTCAAACATTTCTAGATATTCTTTATCCTGTATTCTGCCTTCCGTCGTCCATATGTGATTTTCAGTTCTCTCGCTTGTTCCGAATATTCCCATCTCAACAAACTTGATATAATAATGAAAAATTACACATAATCATGAGAAAAAACATATATAATAAGAAATATGTAGTATGATTATTTAGGATTAGCAATATACAAGTAAATTAATATAATTTATTATTGTTAATTATATATAAAAGATTTGCAATCTTACTGTTGGTCGATCAAATTCTATCGTTGGACAAATGTTTGGATCATCAAAATTGTCATATGACCGTACTTCGCCAAGATCTTCCGATTGCAAGTTAATGGATTGATCTTCGTCAACTGCTACTCTTCCCATAAAATCTATAGTGACTTTTTTATTTAAACGTGACGCATGTTTGCGCGCTAGTGCTTCCTCTTCTTGCTTCTGTAACTTCTTGCGCTCGTCATGGGAAAGCCAAATGCTATTTGACTGATAATAATCCGATTCGTCATCGATCACTTTAGTGCGACGGGCACTGCAAATCAATTTTATGACAATTATTGTAAAGAAAATCTTGACAGAGATAACAAATACATACCTATTGCGATCAAAATCGAGAAGTTTGTCTCTCTGTTTAAGAGAGTCCTCAAGACTTTTATTTGGTTTTTGATCCATTAATTTATTATACAAATTATCAGCCTGTTTAGTATTGCTCCGAAGTAATACTTGTTCCTCTGGAGAACAAACAAGTTCACTACAAGAGAAACATGGCCCTGAGCCTTCTTGTACACAGACTATTCTTCCACAATTAAGACAATTGTTAATTAATGCATGTCTGTTTGCTTCGCAGTCACATTTATGTCTTCCTAAAAAATATATATGTAGGTATATACATATACAAAGCATTGCTAGATACATGTATATTGTATTACATTACGTGTACAAATTTATTATATATAAACACCTTTCAAGAGAATATTTCCATGAGACAATAAGCTAACAAATTTAGTCTTTTTCTTTTCCACCTTCTCAGACTTTGTCTCAGGCTTTATAGTCTCTTGCACCTGTAAAAAATGATATATAAAATGCTCAATAATTTTCTAATAGTTGTTTAATGATGTACTCATTATATAATCCTCTTGAAAAATATAGACTGTATACTTGAACATTTTTTTTCCCTTTTCCTTTTCCCTTTTTCTTATCGTTTTGTTTCTTGGAGATACTGTCCGCATCGTCGTTTGTTTTCTTGTATTTAGTTTGATTATTATACGAGGCTGGAACACGAAGAGTACGATATAATTTAATAATAATCTGGCAAAGTTTAGTAAAATTTATCTGGTTACTCACCGCGTCTCTTTTTCAATTCTGTTACAAATTGTCTGTGATTTGGCCTTTCATTATTCAATAACGTTGTAAGATAGAAATCTAAATCTTTCTCATTTTCTATCTGCAAAATATATCTGAAAAATTGATAACATAACGTTAGGCAAGCAAAGATAAAGAAAGAAAGAAATTTTCATTAACCACCGCACTTACTGAACCAAGTCATCTGGGACTAGAAAACATAACAATTCGGACAATTTCTCTTGCACCCATTTCTCCATGACTCCTGAACAGCGGACAAATGAATAATGATACGTTGTAATACACGTAACACGACGTATGTCGTATAACGACGTCGAAACTACTACACGTGAGACGTGAGACGTGAGACGTGAGATTTCAATAAAAATGTGTCACATACACATCAGTCTGCATCAGTCTCCATCAGTCTCATCAATCTTATCAGTGCGGCGTTGTTGTCGGTGTCGGTTGTCACTACTATGTCAGTGCACTGCATTATCGTCAATATGTAACAGATATTGTAGATAATTCAGAGACCTATATTGCATATTATTGATAATGCATTTGCTTTAGTTAAAAATTTCACAAAATTTACCAAAGGTGTCAGGATGTCACGCGTCATTCAACGACAACGTGCAACGTGTCATTTCGAGATCTTCGATGAAGCGGATGAAGTAGTTCGGATCGGCCGGATCGGCCATGTGCTTGAGATACCCTTGGATATATTTTATTATATTTCACTATTCTCAATAATTATCTCAACGTATTCACAGTGATGGGTAAGCAGAAAAGGCAGCGGCGAAAGCCTCACAAGGAAAATCCCACTGGATTACCGTCCGTTCAGGAGCTCGAGCTAAAGGAGGAACTTACGGAGGGAGACAGGGAAAAGATCTTGCAGGATGTTTATGATGATGTGAGCAGCGATAAGGTTTAATCTTAATCGATGCAACATTTGTCGTGTTATTTAATAAAATTATGTTAATAAACGTGATAAGAATTAATAGTGAGGGTTTGCCTCTTCTTAATAGTTCTTTCTTTCTTTCTTTCTAGATACAATCGTGTAACCTCGAAGAAAAGTTATCTGCCCTGCAAATATTGGCGTCAATGTCTTGCGACTCTTCTATGGCCACGCAAATCGCCAAGGATGGGATAGCGAAAATAATTGGCCCACTATTGATGGATCATAATGCCGCTATACGAACCAACACTGCACATACTTTGCGGGAAATTGCTGAAAATGGTAGAGAGCAAGCGTGCAATGATTTGATTAAAGATGATATTATAACTCCACTCACCGCCGTACTCAGACAGGTATCTTAAGATGAGAGTTCAAATCAAACGCACGTGTACGACGTCGCAACCTTGTGAGATACCTCAAGTTAAATAACGTCTTTATTTATAGTACTATTCGGACTGGAAGCCAAAAAAGGCTGGGGATGAAAAAGTGACTTTTGTCGAAGCAGTTAGCCTGCTGTGGACATTATGCGCGAATAATGAAAGCGCGATCAAGCGAGCTAATGAGGAAGATTTGGCCGCACTCTTGTTAAAGTTTTTAGATATTGATATTTATGGAACAGAGATCGTCACGGTCGTTACACGCGCCATGATATGCTTGTCGGACGAGAATGTTGCTGCCATTAATACAATTAAACAAAGCGAATCAGTTTTGTTTAATCTGCTAGATTTTAAAGCCGATGATGCGAAGACTGCTTTCAAAATATTGGTCTTGAAAACTTGTGTAGCTGACGTACTGATCAATATCAGTACGTACACGGACACGAACCGGACAGATGTATTTCGTAAAGTATTATTGGTACTGTCTGACGTACTTGCGATCGATCATAGACAAATACTGTCTTGCTTAACGTCTATTTTACCACATGAATGCAATGCTTCTTCGAGCGATAAAAGGAAAAAGGTACAAGAAAATAGAGAGATGTTGGAAATGCAGGAACAAGCTTTACAGATTTTTGCAAATTTATGTTTTGAATACCAAGACACGGCACGTGATTCCGACACCGCGGACTCTGAACCAATGGAGATCGAGTCTGAATGCTTGGGTGCGGACTCGACGACGGAAGATTTGAAAATGATGTCAACGTTTCCAGTGGAACTAGTTGAAGTTATGAACGCGTGTAACTTGGTTGATAAAATTTGGGACAAGACTAAATTCGTAGTGAAAAATAGCCAGGAAATACTGGCTCAAACCGAAGAGGGACGAGCTACGTTGAAGCAATTTTATGACATTCAGGGTGCAGCTTATTTATGTATGAATAATTTATTGCCCAACATAGAAGTTGATGCTTTCGGAGGCGTTGCCATTTTACACAGGTAGAGATCATTTCTACATTTTTTAACAATAATAAAAACATGCCGTTTCTTTTCTAATACTTGATATGGAATTTTTATTAGCTTTTGTTAATCATGGATATTCTGCATCTAGGAAATGGATGGAAATTATAGAAGAGTTTGAAGACATCACTAGAGAGGACGTATTTAAACGTGTAGAACTTGCGGAAGCGGGTACTGCTGCCATGAGAGCTATTCTTCAACGTTTAGTCCAAGTACAAGTGACGGACGTTGATTTAAATCACTTACCTACTTCTTGTAACGCAATCCAGGCGATGTTAAATGGCTTGGATTCATGTGTCAGTACGACGGTCCGCGTTAATTTGATAAGGATACTCTGTCATTTAGTACAGCTGTTGAATAACAAAAATCCGAAAAATTACGAAATGATCAAGGTAGGTCATTTTCGAGTTTCTTTGAATTTTCTCCCTAAATAAATTTTTTTTATGTAAACTATTTTTGACAGTTCGTTTCCACGTTTTTATTGGACAGCTCTAAAACTGAAACTCGAGTATGGGTTTTAGCAGAATCTATAGACGCAATAATGGATATATTTACAGAGGATGAGATTGACCATATAGCGGTAGATATCAAATTAGTCCCTAAATTGCTGTCTATAATGCCACATTTCAAAAACAAGGTAAATATTACTTTTTATTTCTTACATCAAGTATCGTATATTGAGTTTTATATAATTATTGATTGCAATGTTATATATTGATTTTTATATTATTTCATAGATGCGTGAGCAGAAGAAACATTTACAAGATGGCACGCTTGTAGTCGCGACTGTAAATGCAAACCTAATGAGGTTTATAAAATATAAACAGAAGCGATTAGGACGTGTTAAACAGAAATGAACATTGTTAAACACTTGTTTTTATTCGATTTCTTCGAATTACAGAGATCATGAACGAAGTTATTTTTACAATAAATGACTTGTAAATTTTTGAAAAACAAAAGTATACTCTTGTCACTTTTTCTATTTTCTATCTCTGCACTTTTATAATTTGTATTTGTTTTGAGCTATTTTACTTGAGTTTTTAATAGATTTGGAGTAGGATTATGTAATTTATCACAAGTCATTGCTTATACACAGTTTATGGTTCATTTCATATCAATAAATAATGAAAATAATAGCCAAGTATTGCAGTAAAACATCAGAAATGAAGACAAGATATAAACATCACTGTATAATTATGTAACATGTATAGAAATGCTAGAATTTTTTCTGTAGCAAATTTTTTTCTTGAAAAAATTTATATATTATATATATATTTGACGCGTTAGTACGAAATCACGTGCAATCTAATAAGAAAAGAAAGAAGCATATAGAATGTACTTTGCACAGTCTTTGAATAATAGTTCATTTAATACATAGATTCTAGAAATTACAGCTAAATACGATTATCTTTCAATGCATGTAGAAATCACGGAAACGATAGAATTTCATTGTCAAGTCTAAAAATGTGGACGAAGGTTTAAGATTTCAGAAGGACTTTCCTCTCTTATCATCGTCTTTCAAGTTCTTACTTTCGTCCTTTAATCTAGATTCAGATGTGTCTCTTAAACTAAGCGCACTGTGTCTCCTGGGTTTCGGTATGGGATTTACCTCATCCAAGAGCTCAGGTTTATGCCTGATCGGTTCAGAAATGTGTAATTCAATCACTTTCACCGGGTCACGCGACGCCGCGACCGGTATTGGCGGATCCGTTAATCTAACCACATGAATATCCTTCTGTTCACGTGGCAGTTTCTTGAATTCCAACTTAATTGGACCAGATGGCCCATCCACCATATTTTCGAAAAAGTGTCGGCGATTCGCCTGGATAGATAATCTGGTGCTTGTTATCGAATCATCTTGATACATATCATCGATATCTTCTTGTTCTTTAGACGCGTTTTTACTTTCCAATGCCTTGATTTGCATCTCAATTTTTTCAATTTCCTCCTTCACGGAAAAACTGTCACTTCGCGATAACGTACTGGACGAACCTTTTTTTCTCAGACAAACCTCACCAGATTCTTCATCGATGTCCTTAATGATTTCGATCTTTTCCTGAGATGCTCTTGTATATTCTATATCCACGGGATCTTTTTCGATCACGGAATCTTTAACAATGATATTTGCGTGCTCCTTGATTAATTTTTCATTTACTTTTGTTTCGGCGTCGGCGTTCTCCGATGTTTCATCAGACTTGAGTGCTATTTTTTCCTCTGAAAAATCTTTTTTTTCTTTTCCCTCAGACTTGTAGTCTTTAGACGTGTCACACGTTTTCGTCTTCTCGGTATTCTTCGTGATGTCGTCAGACGACATGTCTTGGATAATTTTCGGATACAAATCGGTTTGCTCTTCTTTACGCGGCGATACCTCGTTCAATTCTTTGCAAGTCTTTTTCATCTCGACGATATTTTCTGTAACCCTGACGATGTCGATCGGCTCGGTTATTTGGAGTTTAAGTTTAATCGCGTCTGATACAGGTTCCGTCATTTTATTTACTTCCACTGTAGATGGATACGTGCCTTCCTGCGAAAACATTACCGGTTGTATTTATTACGCTCGTTTATCAATCAATCATCATCATCATCATCATCCACATAATTTACATGTACCAGAGGAGTATCCACGTGTTCCTTCTGTTTCGGTGGTTGTGGTGCTCTCCGTTTTTTGCGTCCATGTATACTTGTTGTACTGGTAACAGATGTACAGCTATTGATGGACAAATTCGATCTTCTCACAGCGTCCTGGTTGAATCTCTTGAAAACGTAATCCTCGGGCACATTTTCGTTCTCGTCCCTCAGGCTAACGTTACCGGATCGATTGATCGAATCTTCCTCCATATCCGACGTGGTTCCATTCAATCTTTGCGATGATCTATTGCCAAATCTTCGCCTGGAAAAAAAATTGGACATCATAAGCAAAATTTTTAACCTTGAGCACAAGTACATTCGTTGCATTTTGATATTTTATAACAATTTTAGGAATTAATTTATATTGTCGGGAAGGATTTCATTTCAGCGCTTAATATTTATAGCGATTAAAGTTTCGAATTATCGCGACTGTCGACTGTCAGAAATATATGTACGAAAAACAAGAAGCAGAGAGGATCTTACATTGGTGGAATCGGGATTTTTTCCGGTTTATCGTGACACGTAATACTACCATTTTGCTTGGATTGCTTGTCTTCGAAATCCAAAGGTGGTATTTTGTCCGTCGGTCTTGGGCTCACTTGCCCAAATCTGGAAAAAAAAACCATTGAAAATTTAATTTTAATTGTAAAAGAAACTCTTCTTTTTTTAAGCCAGGCATCTTTTAGATTCAGAAATTATAAAATTATTTTACTATTCTATTCAAATATATATATGAATCATAAAAATTTTAAATATAAATACTCTTATAATGATTTCAATTCTGCAAAGTTTACCTTCTAGCTGGCGGTTTCGGAGTGAGATCGACGTTCATGATAGACGTTGTGGTATTTTGAGGATTACCATCGGAGATCTTAGCAGGATCGCCGTTTTCTGTTAAATTCGGGCTATACCTCGAGGTATTGTTATCAAAAGTATATTTCCTTCTCCTTGTCAAAGTGCCCAAGGCTTCATCAAATTCCTGTTGATCCTTAGACAGTCGTGGAGGTGCTGTTGGTCTGTCGTAAGGCTCTCTTTTGTACGTAGTCGAGACTGCAGTTACATGCAGTAAGTTGCATCTTATTTTACGTTACAGTTTATAAAATATATCATCGATTACATTATATATTTCCAGATCTTAAATTTAAAATATAAACATATATAATTACATTAAATATAATTATGAAATATATTTTTAAATCGTCCCTTTAAAAAACGTGGGTATAAAATAAATTCGCATAATTTGGGGGAAAAAAAAAAAAAAAATTCTTCACTTATTACTGGAATCGTCGTCTCGTTCTAATGCATTACGTATTTTAAACATTCATATCTTATAGTTTAATGTGTTTAGTATGTTTTACGGGAGTCGAGAGTGTGCACGTAACTTGGATAGAGACAAACCTGTTGTAATCGTCGACCTATTTTCCATCGATTCTGGAGTTTCTTTGCGCTTTCCAAACAATCCATTCCTAAACACAAAGATCGATATTGAATGTCACATAACTATATTGTTACTTTATTGGATTGTAACAGAAAGGTGTGTGGTATTTAGTTTAGTATGCAATTAAAATTTCACACACTGAGATTACCGTACATATTAAAATTGTAATCACGCTAATAATAAAATTAAAATAACATTATATTATTTATTTAAGAACGCTCTGATTCCGTAGGCGACAGTACGAATGATGTTGCGCGTTTTGCGTTGCCTTAACGCGGATCCACGCGGCATTTTATTTACGTATACGCGAAGATGACGAGAGATGAACGTGCGCGGTTCATCGTTTGATATACTTGGGACAGGTCCTGGAAAATTCATAACGTGCTACACCATTAAATTTTCCTGTAAATTTTCGTCAACCTCGGTCGATTAAGGATCCAAGGAATTAAATTACGTACGGCGTTACTTTGTGAATTTAAAAATAGTTACAAGTTTTCAAGGAACATCTTGTTTACATATCCGATATCTTCCTCAAAAACGCATTCTTACTTTACTCATTACAGGCACGCTCGCGATCGAGTTTCGAGAATATCGAGATATAAATTGATTTATTGCGCAAGAACTAAAAAAAAAAGAAAAAGGTGCGAATCTTCTAAAACGTCACGCGCGTGAACAGCAAAGCCTATGCACATTTGCAGTTAAAAGCGTCAATTATATTCATCCTCATTCCGCTTAATATCACTTCCACTTTGCCGACGATCACGGTCGATACGTTCAAGCGCACTTAAATTCGCTATTGTACGTACTCGCAACGCGTGTTAATTCAACTTTCGATTCGATGACGATGCTCGCGGCGCGGATTCTTCGATTTCTTTGCGCAGCTCTGATTAGTTTGGTTATTCCGATTGTTAATCAGACCAGAACTCAATTTAATTTTGAAAGTATTTTTTTAATCACGTGAATAACGTGTGTGTGTGTGTGTGTGTGTGTGTGTGGTAATAATGTAGCTGGTAGTTAATTGTTTCGTTTCTCTGAAAGAATTGTAGGAAACATACAAAATGAAAAAATAGTAGATAGGTTTTTGAAGGTTTATATCTCATTACTGTTATATCTCGTAATATCAAGGCACTTTTATGCATTATTTCTTCGTATTTCCTTTGTAAAAGTTACAAACAAGTTACAAAAGTTTCGCACACACGTGCCTACATGTATTTTATTAATCACACAAATCAGGTCACAAAGAACGTGCACGGCTAAAAATAGTTGATTAAAAATACTCACCAAGTCGATTTGATCGAGAAGTTGTTGGATCTTTTCTTTCGAGTTCTGCCAAACGTCCAGAACTTGTGTTTGGACGATTCTTTCGACGATTTACTCTCGCGCGGCACTTGTGGCTGAGAATTTGTCATCGTGTCATCGTTGAACGGATTCAAATGTTCTGGATAATCGTAGATCGATACGCTAGGTCGTCTGGGCCTCGACGAGAACGACATGATTCATCCGTCAGATTTTGGGTCGTCGTATCAAAAAAGATATTGAGCGAAATGTCATAGGAACGTTCACGCGTACAGGTCATCGATTTCTTGTCATAGCTCCTGCGCGCCTTGTCACAATCCTCTGCAAACTAAAAAATTTCGTGAAAATAATTTATATTAAATTATGCAATTTTAAATTAATTTTAATTTAATTTATATTAAATTAAAAATTTGCGCAAGAATCTTCATATATCGGCGTGTAAAACAAAAAAGCGGACAAACACACGTCCATGTGTATAGTATTTTTAAAACAAAACGTACGTGTAAGGACCTCCGGCACAATGAAAAATATATAAGTAACAAGCAACAGATATTAGTGATTAGAATAAAGAAATCCAGGAATAAAGCTGGTGTGTAACATTAATACACGGTTACCGATAGGTTAAAAATCTATTGTCTGTGTTAATCCCTATTTCCGTTGCCTGAATTTTTCATATATCGTGCATCCAACTTTATTCTTGATTCTTTAGTCCTAATCGCTAATATCTCTGTTTTTTCTTCCTTATATTTTCCATTGTGCGGAGGCCTTAATAAAACTGTAATTAAAAAGAATTAGATAAATATGTAATTAAGATAGAGGTATGATAAAATGTTTTTGTTCAGATCACGCGAGAACGATAAAGTTCAGTCAGACGTTCGCAATTAATTACTACGTTGGCGTTGATGCGCGCTATCATCAATTCGATCAGTGCTAGATGATGGATGTGGAGGAAAGCAATTTGGAGCGATATAATTGTTGGATATGCGTGCGTTTATCGTTACGACACGTGCTCGGTTCAAATAGAATGACCCGATGAAGTAGAACTGGATGAACGGCCGATAATACAGCCGCAAGTTGACGACGGATTAATTTGCTGACCCGCGCCGAAGACAGTAAGAAGCTGTAAACACTCTCGCGTCACGCTAACCCGGTTATAACCAACTAGACATCTTCTAATCGTCTGCTGGATTACAATGTGCAACTGTATGTCGTTTACATAATGTCGCTGTGCAGAAACTGCGCCTCTCTCTCTCTCTCTCTCTAAAACTTTTTTAAATTTTAACATGTAGGCACCACCATTATTATGAGATTTGTCAAGATTTTCATAGTTGCGAGTTTTTAGTTTTATCGAGCATTTAAAGATATTTTAAGCGGGATAAAAAAGTTAACGCTTCGGAGAGCTTTGTGATGCGAAGAAGACCAACGAATATGTTCGCACTAAAATGCATCGTATGAATCGGCACGTACAAATAGTGTCTAACAAATGCAATTAGCTCAATTAGTTGACCGCGCTCGCGCTCCGTTTTGTTCAATTCGTGCATCGCCTCGCGATTCGAAATCATTCGATCGCGCGTAAGTTTTGAATACGATTCGTACATATATTCTATTCTATTCTGTGACAAATGATGAGCAACGCACGACAAAATGCAAAATATGCTTCATGCTTCAAGGTTTTATGCTAATACTGGTCGTAGTAATACGCACGCACGATCACTCGAATGCAAGTCTTTGGTAATGTACAGAAAGAGAGTATAAATATAAAAAAAGTGTATATTTTGCGAGATACGCGTATTACGCTTTTTTAACATAAAATATTTTTCACATTCTTTTTCGTAGAAAACTTAACATTGACGAGTGACAACTGACAAATCGCGCGTTGTAAAAAGTACTCGATTAAACGCACGAATCTTACAGTTGTTTTAGAATATATTAACCTACGTGAACTTTATTATAAGGCACGCGATTATTCAATAACGATCGGAATCGTCTGGTCTCGTACGATAGTCTGGCACGAGTCAGCTTTACAGGATGTTCCAGACCTTTCACCTTTGAATTCTTTGACTACGTTGGAATTTGGAATTGACGTTTCCCCGAGCAACAATATCGAGGAAGGTCATTGTATACGCTGTAAAATTTTTACGTTATAAAGTGTAATATCTTTATAATTGATCCATACATTTTACACAAGTTCTGTTAAGGTAGAAACCGCTAAAAATTTAATAAAGAATAAAGTTTCGCTATTTATTTACGCTTTTAAAACTTACAATTAGTGAATTTAAAAAAAAACTTCATTTTTTATCACTTTTAAAAAGGTTGATTTTTTGATTCTCCAAATTTTCATTATGGTAAAATCAAGGTAAGACTGGGATACCTTGGTGCATTTGCGCGTCCATTATTGGACGTCAAGCACAATCGATTAATCGCTGATTATGATGTAACTGTATGGTGCACGAGTTTCGCAATTCATCGTAGCACGTGAGCGTTGAAAAAAGATCTCCTTGTATATCGAGTTAACACGCGTCGTTTTCCCGTTGCTTATGTACTCGCCGCGCCGCGCCGCGCCGTTCTACAGTGCAACATAGGCCATATCTGTGAGAAACGACTGGAGCATGTCGCTAACATAATAACGTACATAATAGGAAGGTACTAAATACTTGGGCGTAAGGAAACCAACTTCTTTCGCGAAAAATATGCGACATTTTTCTTCATGTGTTATTTGCCGAAGCCGAATATACGTTTTTCGATACAACGTGCGTTCCGGTCCGTTCCGTAATTTATCTGTCCACTTTTTGAAGACATCTTCAGAATGTCGGCGTCGAACGCGCGAGCAAAGTTATTCTAAAAAAATCCGCCACACGGTAAATTTTATTGCGCAAAGAGGATTTAATCTAATCTATCGCTGTTGACGAGAAGCATATATTTCGCTAGTACAAGCAAGTGCCCTCGCACTTGATTTACCCGAAGCATGCGATGACGTGGAATCGATCGCTGATTTCGATAAAATAAAGTATGGCAAAAAGAAGTATGTCGAATCTCTACCTGTATCTCGTATACCTCAAAACCGGATAGCTAAAATAAATAGATAGCAGAAAATGTGCTGATATAGGTATATTGGCAAACTCGAGATAATTAATTTTTTTACGTGCTGATAATTTTGTGTTAAGTTTACGTGGCAGTAAATCGTCGCGTCGCGTCGTTTAGGCTGCAATAACGAATCGATGATTACGATCGACGCGACGCCGACGCCGACGTTCCGTTTAATTACCAGCTGTGTATAATTGATACGCGATGTCTAAGTTTGGCCGATGACTCATCGCACCGTGCAACTGAACTCGCGTGGACGACAATGCAACTTATCTTATTTTCATCGGTTTACCAGAGGCCCAGAGGCGAAACCGTCGTCGACGTGTTAGGATCGTTAGGATTCAAAGTCACGTATAGATTCGGCGTTAAATAAATATCCGTAATGAATTTATCTCTTTGAGTCTTACCGAGCATCTTTCCCTGATTTTTTTCACATATTCAGAGCGTGGCTTTGATATGTAATTTTCGTATAATATATTATTAATTGTAAGTTTGAAACATATACGTGTATATATATATATATATATATATATATATATATAACAAAAAGTATAATACATTCAAATAAAGTAATATATTACAATATCGTTGCTCGCTTGAGAAAAGTTTTATATTTATGGGAAAAAAGATGCAAGATATGATTAAATTCAATGCTGACAATGAGCACGAGTATGCATCGGTCGCGACTCGCGAGTGCACGAAACAAAGTCGAAAGGATTAAGAAAACGTCTTTGGAAAGTCTTTTGTCAAAAGTGGGAAAAGTGATAATCGCGCCTCGGGTGAAAACGGAGCGATTTTCTGGCTTCGACTCAGAATCGCAGCCGCTCTATTTCACCGACGATATTTTTGGATCTTGGGAACGTTAACGGGGATCATATATCACACAAACTCCACGATCGCTCTTTTCCACAACATTATACGGTTCTCGTCTCTTTTTGGAGCTTTTTCTTTCATTACAGTACAGAAAAAGTAACAACCATTAAACTACGTTCAGTAGTTGTATCTCGTTCGTAATAACTCGCGGAACGAGTTTGCAAAGTCGACGATAAAGGTAAAGGCACGATCGAAATACTTTCGAGGAAAATTCGATTTACCTAGCTGTAGTTTCCACTAAACTGCCGTACTGCGGATCCAACGTGTTTCTGGTTGTTTTTTTTTTTATCTTAAACATTGATATCACAGTTTTAAAATACACCTTTTTACTCGTAAAAAAATGGATAGGGTAATCTCCTGACCGACAATAATACTCAATTTTATTTTCTTCTCTCTTTCTCTCTCTCTCTCTCATCCTGAATAAAATTTTCCATACGTTGCATTGGAATCCAAATATGTAATGGCATGCAGATAGAAGATATTTTAATTTCTTAATCGCGAATCTATCGCATACAACGCTGCAACATTGATATACATTTCGTGGCAAGCCATCAATGACCTAGTTTACATCGATCACTTGATACGCGTATTAAATAGTAAATAACTAGTAAATAAGTCTGATTATTGGCTGATCAGTTCAAATATACTATTTGATACGCGTATCAAGAGATCGGTGTAAACTAGGTCATTAATACAGAGACAAGCAAGACAATTAAGCATATATCGATTGCTGTGACTCTCGCCACAGATTTCGAAAAGCCGTAAAATTCGCTGCCGCGGCGCGCATCGTTGATGCGACTTTCTATCTAATTGTAAGTAGCGCGCACACGTGCCGGTGCTTAAACTTCAGGGAGTCTTTATTAACGACAATAACGAGCATTCGAATCCGCGGAGAGCCGGCCGAAAATAGAACGTCGTTGCAACCCGCAATCTCGACACGGGCCACGGGTCAAGTATTCGGAAATTTCGTTCTCGATAGATTCCATCGCGTGAGCAGGGATATGGATCATTAATAACTTTATTACGAGCAGAACGCCAGGACGGGCCAAGGATTCGTGGTAGGCGCGTCTTGCGCGTTTGACGAGAATACGATATCGCCATCGGACATTGTCTCGTGGTGCAGGGTGTAGCTTACGAAAGGAACGAAAAGGAGACACGTGATTCGCTTATATCGAGCTTACACCCAACACCGCGGCGTATTATCTCATTGGCAATTTTTAGGTATGACGATAACATAGGAGTGACTTGCAACGATTATATTATACGTCGTCGATTGTACGCACTTCCATCTTCCATCGCGAGTTGCACGGGCGATTTTACGTGTACGACGTACGTTATCGCAAACGTTAAATTATATATTAATGTTAAGCCCGCAATCGTGGATATATTCGAGTCTCGTGTCTCGTTCTCCTTGTCTACCTTTCTCCAAGGTAACTCTAAACATCATCAGTATTTTCATGATTTTATCCATTCTAACGAAAGCTTGTTGGACGTTGTTGGGCGTCGCTTTCGTAAGCGCGCCCAACGTATTATACATCTGCGTGACATGTATTGGTCGAACGAAACGTAAAAAGTGAAAATTTGCATTTCGATATGCGATAACAACTCATGCGACGCGACCCGCGCGATATACGTGCAAGAGAGAGACCTGTCCAAGTCATTGTACGTAAAACTTACGTAAGTGTGCGGGTGTGATGTGTGATGATAGGCGACGACCGCGTCGCGCGACGTGTCAAACTATTCGGACTCTTGCGAGACGCGCTTTAACGAAGCACGGTACACTTTCACGTAACTGATCACGATTAGGAGACACACGAGGATGTAAATCAAAGTTCAACGTGCGGAACTGCGAGCGAACGAACGACGTAAACAAGCCCCCTTCCGTTACGAGCCACGCCGGCCAACTGCGGCGAGCGGCATCGCGGCATCAGCGGCAACGCCGGCCGCCGCGCCGCCGCCGGTCGCGTTTCGCGTTCACGTTCGGCCATTATCGCCATCCTTCGATCATTTTCGCCTACACGTGAATTTCGCGCCGCGTTCAACGGTGAGAGCCTGAGAGGTGAGACCAGATTGGCCATCAGGGCCGAGTGTACTCGGCGCGTAAGATTCAAACCAAAAATTCTTATTGTTACGTGCACATAACTGTATTTAGACTCGTACCTCCGTAATACTGTGGATAGTGTGACGTAGGATCATTAAACGTTATGTTAATGTTATTGCAACTGACGTGCTATCTTTATGCGATTTTTATCAAAATAAATAGAATAATAAATTTTTAAAAATTATTACGCGGTACAAACATGTAAAGAAATTAAATAAACATTACGTCAAGTGTTGCGAACGTAAGTGATGGTCAACTGAACGTATTTTATTTATAAATTTTTGATAAATTTTATATTTCTGGGGGATAATGTTTGACAAAAATAAAAAAGAGGGTCAATATTAGTAACACTAAAATTTGTAACGTGCTTTCTATCAAATGTTCGCTTAATAAACCGCAATGTACCGACGCTGACTAATGCTGACTGAATGCAAGCTCGCGCATTTCTAGAGACTCAAGATGCATGTTTATCGCGTAGGTAGGCGTTAGTGGACGTGGCTTGGAAAGTTGCACAAGAAAAGACACAGTTTGTAGGTAAAAGTACACGCAACCATATTTTATATCAAGAGACTTAAAAGTATTCACAAATTTAAATCTAAACTTCTAGCCCGGTAAAATATTGTCGAACGTTCTTTATTTTAAATTAATTTCTTAATCATGTATGTATATATGTATATAGATAATCTTTAAACAGATACGTTCGAAATTTTATTAAAGTCTTTTCGTTAAGTAAATACAGCGTCCAATAAAAAGGTCGGGGCGATAACGCCAGCTTGTGGTCGCAATGCTATTTTATCCGTATGATGTAATGCGCACTCGTATGTCGAATCAATCACATAGAAACGCGGACGTGCAGACGCTACATCTAGAATATTTAATCGTTTTTTCTTGATATTCTCTCCATGTCACGGTTATCGCATGGCATTGCAAAATAAGGCAGTGATCTCAATAAATGCGCGATATCTGCATATCCACCGAGTGTATTTCGATCGATGACAACGTCGCGCGATACCGAAGACCAAACGCTATATAAGTAGCGCGTGATATGTTTTTACACGGCGGAAACGCTGTCGCTGTATAATCTAATCACTTTGCAAATTTGCAATTGACAATACATATATGTTTAGAAGGAAACAAAGTCTCTCTGGAGTTACCTTTAATTTCGTGACACTCAATTCGCATCCACAGATGCAAACGATTTATCCCGTACTATATCTCGATTCAATTCTGTACTGATTACATCGCCAAACTGATAAGATAGCACCCTTATCGTGCAACTTTATTCAGTTCGTTCGTAATATTCGCGCGCAGGTGTCTATTACCTGTCGTGATTGATGAAACCTGGAAAAAAAAAACGTGAGAAAATTACGAATCTTTTTATGTACGATATTGATGAGTTTCAAAAAATTTACAACATAAATTAGTAAATAACGTTGCATATATCAGCGCCTCGAGATAGATCTGTGAATCTTTTGAAATCATTAGACTTTATTATCCTATAATTCGAGCATTGTATGCGAGCATAATGGAGCTGGCTTTCAAGAGCAACGGCGCAATGAAACTCGCTATTGAAAATAATTATGAGATGATCCCGATGATACGAAAAGTTTTTATCGCAAAGGATCTTTTATCTTTTCATCTTTCATCGGATCTTTCGTCTCACCTTTGATGATTGACTTAGAGTAAGCTGGCCTTGATATCAATGAAAGGGAAAAGATTAATTATATTACAATTATATTTAAATAAATATTACACTAATTTTTGTTACAATAAAGCGTTTTCCCAAACGAAACTAATATACATCAATCAGTAAAGTACGTATTCATTCTTTTGTATCAAGGATGCTTTATAAATCTTTTAGTAATCTTCTTTTTGTTATCGAGAAGTACTTGATAGAAATAAAAATGATTTCTTTATCACGCGTACTTTTCTCAGTCGAATTCCAAAGTAATTCGCGATACTTTAATAGAGCACTCTAGATGTGTGTGTGACCCATTTTCCTCGATTCAAGTGTTCAATAAATCAACAATGTTAGAAATGAGACGCGATCGGTGATGATACGCGACGCGTTATAAAAAGTACAATACAATGGACGTGTTAATATTGAAAGTTATTTGATTGGCGGCATTTATCCAAATGAAGAACATTTGTCGTATTTGTGAAGAGGCAGAGCAGACCGTTGCATAAAAATGCATAAACCAAAGGAGTACATGTAACATGTGTACATAAATTATAAAGACTGCGCGAAAACGCATTGCACTAATTCTTATATAACAACGGTATAGAAATCGAGAAACCCTGCTCGATGCGCGAATACGTGGTTCCGTCTCAACGTGTATATATACTGCACGCGGTAAATGGCTCGGTAACTATGCAAATTTAAGTGCAGGAAGATCCATCCGTTTGTTAAACGCGACGAAGGCCTCGCGTGCGCCGCGTTAACCCACGCGGTTTTTTTTATTTTAGTGTCGTTAACTATATGGACCGCGCAAAACTTCACCTTTTTGAAGACCAGAACTCTGAAGTGAGAATCAAATCCGAAATCAAATTTCAGGATTATTTTCAAAGTTTTCAAACGGTTTCCATTTCAAGTCATTTTAATCAGACGTTTATACGTACATACGTTATATGAAATAGTACGAGAACTTATAATTCCAAATCTCATCCTAAAATCTTTGTACTTGAGACGTGTAAGAGAACGTGTTACAAAAGTATTATTAAAAATGCAAGAAATAAAGGATAATACATTTTTGGAGAAGCAACAAGAAGACTTAATACGTAACCAGCAGGAAGAAGATCAGGTGAAAGAAAAATCAATAGAAGACGACATACAAGTGATTAAGGACGTGGAAGAAACTAGGAAAGATGAGGAACGTGCGATATTTTTGCACGAGAAAGGTTTGAATGAAAATCTTGTCGAGACATCGCGTAATACCAGTCTTACGGATGAACACGTCAGGTTAGCTGGAGTCAGACAATCGGAGATTGATAATTAATTTCAAATATTCCTCGTATCAATCAGACGTGTAGTTTATAACATCAAAATGTTGTAAAACAACGTTCATCGTCACATGCTATATCAATAAAGAATAAAAAATATTAAAAAGAATCATGTATAAAATATTAAATATAATAAGCGGCTTATTTTTCTACCTCTACGTCTTTCAATTTCTTTGCTTTCTCAGACTTTTAAAATCTCTAAATTTAAGTGACGATGACATCGACAACTTGCAAGATTTATGGCAGGCAAAGATCGAAGTCGATAAAAGCAGCACGTCTATTAATTCTACGTCTAACACGTCATCGTCTACGTGTCACGCACACGCGTTATCGAATAACATCTACCTAAAAAAAGTCTTGAGCAAACCTTTGATCCAAGCTTTGTGTGAAATTGTAGCGAAAAAACCGACCGATCCTGTGGGGTATCTAGGCCATTGGTTACTTCATTATAAAGTCAGTTAATTTTAGTAGACAAAAATCTTTTTTTTTTGTTTTGTTTTGTTACAATTAAGATACAAAAAAGATTTAATAAGATCACATGGAATTTATTTATATAAATAGATAAGAATATTTTAATTCACAGAATATTTTTTTATATATGAGAGAAATAAATCTGTGAATAGATTAATGAGGGACGAGCGGTGCAGCAAAAAGAACGCGAGTCAGAGCTTTCAATCAATATGAAAAAATTGAAACTGCAAGTATGGGCAATATCTCTCATGCACGTTTTATCGATATTATTAAATTATATTTACGTGACATTTAAAAAATATTTGCTTTGTATTACGTACAGAAAGTTGAAGACAATGATCTTTTTATCGAACGAAAGGACGAAGAGGAACATGGCGAGGATCGAACGTATACTGGTGGTAGTATACACCCCATTGAGCTCTGCCCTGCCTGAATCTAGCGCCAGCCGCCAATGCACCACCATCAGGCACCAGGATGAATCAAACTCTTGCGTCACGAATCTCTCGACGGCAGAGCCCAGGTTGTCCCGTCTGAAAAAGTGGCGAGGGTTGAGAAATAGCCGCACGCGAACCGCACGTGCAACCGCCCAATTTAAAAGTTGAGCAAAATTTGACATTAAAGTGATCTGACGCCGAGCTAGAGTTTATAAAGATTTATCTTTACCGGAAAGTTTCTTAAATTTTGCTAGGAGAATCGAGAGAAATAAAAACGATAGGGAAATTGAATAACTATTCCCCTGATTTATCACAGCCAGAGGATGCTAAAGATCATGTGCGAAAGAACGAAAGACGAATAATATAGATGCCGCTGCTTATTATCTCACCTCTGTCAAAATTCTGCAGACAGATAAGAACGTGGCCAAATAACTTGATCGTTTCAAAGATTAACTCGGTAATCTGCAGTAACCAGTTTTTGGTAGATGGTAGATGCCGATAATGTACATTCGTTGGTTCGTAATCGGAAGAGAAATATGCAGTGGCCAAGGACGAGCTTTTTCGGCTTCTTTTCTTGATAGATGACCCGAACCTAGTTCGATGTGGCCATGGCAATTGTAAGGGCGATCGGCGAATGGATACATACGCATCGAAAATGAGGATGATCGTGCAGAAATCGTCCCGCAATCAGCTAAAATTTGAAACGCGAGTCAGAGGTCAGAAGAGTCGTACGTGTTATTATAATTAAAATATGGCACAAGGCACAATGCGCCCTTCGCCCTTACCTTCGCCCGCTTCGTCACTTTATCAACTTTATCCTCGCCGAAATGAGGATGTCGAAGATAAAGGAGACGGCCGTTCCTTTACACTCTTTACATTGTCCGCTGGCTCTGGCTCTGGCTCTGGTTTTCCCGATTTTGATTTCTTCATCGATCGTTGTGTGCGGCACGCAGTCACGCACAGGGATCACCGACAGGGCTGCCAGATTGGGCTATTTAACGCAAATTGGGCTATCTAGAGAACTCTTGTGCGGTATAAATTTTTCAAACGAGGATTTCCGCATTTTGCTATTTTTTAAGCCACGGTGTAAAATATAATTTTTATGTAATCTTACAATTATATCTTACAGTACACCGTGTCTTGAGCGAAAATACTCAATTCATCTGGGTTTGAATTTGTGGAAACACCGATAGTTTGGCACTATGAAATTTGCAACACTGGTTTGCAAATCTATGGTTGCATTCTACGCTTGCGCCGCACAGACAAGGAACGCACTTGGACATTGCACGACAGAGATGCCAGGGTCTCAGCTTTGCACGAACACGACGAAATGGCACGTCGGTGTGACGCTTCGACAAATTGACGAGCGCCAAGCGCCACACTGACGTGCCTTGTCGTTGTGCTGCACAAAACCAAGGCCACGATTTGACATCTTTACACAGTCCTCTTCTTGTCTGATCGTTATTGATAGCTTTTATGAGCGGGTAGTTTTAAATTTGTCTTATGGTATCTATATCGTGTGCAATTTAATAAATATGATATATAATGTCATTTGCGTGCACAGCATAGTGATCTTATCGCCCATAAAAAATCTAATAAACATTGCGAGAAAGAGCAAGTCCTAGACAGAAGAACACAGTCTTCGATGCGACAGCATGGTTTATTATTATATTATATGATATTATATTATATCATATTATATGAGATACGAAAAAAAAGCGATATTGGGCTACATTGCTAGGGAATGTGCGGATTTTGGGCTAGCTCAGCTCGCTCTAGCGGCGGTTTCTGCGGCACACATTCTGGCAGCCCTGATCACCGATCATCGTCGTCGCGCGCGTCTCAAATCGGTGCGGTGCCGGGTAACACAATACAACACAATACGCGGTGGGTGGTCGCCCGGTCGCTGGTCGCTGGTCCCGTGGACAATGGACATCTGCAAAACTCGAATCGCATCATTTGCCATCTCAGCCATCTGCCACCCCCGAATCTTGAATGCGACAATCGACTGAATCGACACCAATTATCATTAACGCTCGAGGCCAGTCGAGGCTTGAGGCTCGCGTTTGTTGACAGAGTGGCTTTATCGGTCTTATCTTCGTTTTCCATTTCGACCATTTCTCTTCGCGTCCTTCCGCGCCTTTTATTTTCAAACATACAGTTGAGAATGTAGAAAACTGAATTACGAACGAATGATGCGTATACTGTATACTTATCGACGAAATTCCTTTTCATTTTCATCTGCAGTTTCACCCTAGCTACAAGTACGTGTGGCGTGGCAATCGTGGCATGGCATGGCATCGAGTATGTCGCTGATGTCGCGGCGGTCGCGGGTTGCGGGTTGCGGGTTGCGGCACGTGGTATATACACATACATATTACATTACATACCACACCACATCCACACTAACCACGCGACGCATACGTGCTCGGTGCTCGTTGAGCTCGGTCTCTTGTAAATTCTACGATACAAATATAAATTTCGAAAAGAAGCTCTACATGTTAGAAAAATGGCAAAGCTCAATTCGTACTATACGCTGTGTCCACTCATCGATCAGCAGAGCTTGCTGGGCGTCGAAAAGGACAAGGAACCGGGCTGTGCGGTGGTGACTCTCGGCAGGAACATAGTCATACGATACAAGGTATGTAGTAGGTTCTATAGAATTGTAGGTGATAGTGATGATGCTTGACGATACTCGATTTAAAAAAACGATTTAAAAAAAACTTATTCCCGTCGTGTATATTTTTAACTGTGGCCTTGACGCATGACGATATATTCATCTATCTATATCTTTTCCAGCTTCAAGACTTGAAGCAGATCAGCAGTTGGTCCAGCAAGGAAAGATTGACGACGCAAGTTATTTACGACAGGTCCAAGGAGCGTTACGTCGCTGTCTTTAACGAGAGAAAGATACGGGTTTGGTCGGCAGAGGAGGCAGACTTGAACAACGTCAAGGGATACAAATTTCCATCCCCGCTTCACGCTATTCTGCCCTATGGCGACTCGTCGCCCATTCTTGTCCAGCGAAACGGAGCTACCGCTTCCCTCGAATGGGCCATCGACAATAGAAGGACGTGGCGGAGCAAGGGTATAATTAAGGCTAAGGAGAACGTGTTGGACTGTCAGTTGATACATTTTAACGGCAAGACGAGTTTGTTCTGCTTGACGAGAGTAGAAGAGGTCTATAACTGCCTAGTGGTTAGATTGGAAGACGCGACCTGCTTGGAGAAAGCGGATACCGTCAGGAGGATAGAATTGAAACGGAAGTCGGAGGATCTCGCGGGACACGTGGTGATACGCCACAAGAACGCGGCGTACCTGTTGACTTTATGTACGTTGAAACGGCTTTATATTATACATATACTGTTTTTCCTCATTTAACACGTGCTCCTTCAACTCTCTGAGCAATCGTGTTTCAGGGTCACACGGCAGATTGTACAGTCATCAGTTGTCGACGGGAACGTGTGTGTCTTCCGATTTCGAGTCCAACAGGTTAGTCAGCGTAATTACCAACATCAATACCAAGTATCCGGTTGTCATGACGCATCTGAACGAGACGACCGTAGCGATTTACGGCGCTGACGTCACGGACGAAGGGGCGATACTCATGATATACAATGTAAAATTCAAATCGGCGCAAGCGGTGCAAAAGCTGAAACTTTACACCAACGACGCCAAGCTTTGGAAGGTGGAGGACAAATTGTTGCTCGCGGCAAACAGACATTTGGCCGTCGCGCCCTACCATCTCGCGCCGCAAAGAATAGCCGCTATGTTGGGCTCGTCTTTACGCTTCAAGAGCGACAACGCCGACGCGGCGGCGGCGGCGGCGGACGATATTGTCGTGATACAGGAAGCGACGGTGGCTCAATGGGACAAGACCCGAACAAAGTCTTGCGCGAGAAGCGTGTCGATAGGTCGAATACCTTTGAACGTCTCGCAAAAGATACGCGCTTATTTGAACGAGGGATGGAGCGATGCCGCGATACAAGAGGCCCTGATCCCGCTATTGATGCACGCTGGCGACGTCGCGTCCATCTGTTGGTGCCTCGACACCTTTCAAGATTTACCGGACAAGTTGCTGGTCGATCTTTTGGCGTTTACCTTTACCTTGAAAAGTCCGGACAAAGTATTCGTTCCTCTGCAAAACGGCACGACTGACGGCTCGACGGTTGACAGCGCGACGTTCAAACCCAATCATTCCTATTCGAGGGATACGTTTCTCGACAAGGTGTTTAGTATCAGCTGTTCCAGTGTTTCCTTGTTACCTCATCTGAAAACCGGTTTAACTTTCGACCAAGTACTTAAACTGTTGGAACATTTAATGTGTAAATTGAACGAGGAAACGGACTCGCTTGCCGACGCCAACTCGCAGCCGAGCGACCAACAGTTGTACGAATGGTCCTGTATACTTCTCGACTCTCACTATCAACATTATTTATTGTCGCAAGATACGCATGTTTTGGACCTTTTCAATCGGCTGGATTCTACCCTGGAAGAACACGTAAGCGTAAAATGATTTTTAAGTGATTTCTACTCGCGCGCAATTTTTCATCATCTTCTCTACTCGACTATCGTCGTTCTTTTTGCCAGTTTCAGTTTCTGCAAAACCTTGTCGACTTGAGGCCCATCATAGACAAGACCCACAATGGAAAATCATTACGATCGTCTTCAAGAAAACAGAATAAATTCTACTCTATAGAAGAAATAAAACTTTATTAAACTATCAAGTAAACGCGAGAGGAGCATGCGCGTATCATTCAGCATTGTTGAACATACTTTATATACGTACACGTATATGTATATGTGCGCGCGCGTGTTTTCTATTAATTTTACGGAAGATGAATTGTCGATAGACAAAAAAAAAAACGGGGGAAAAAAACGATGTAAACGCCACTGAAAGATATTTAACACGGATATTGTAATTTTTAGCATCTTGTGTTTCCTTCTTCTTGTACTGACGCATTAAACGAGAACTAAAATTAAGGTAAATATTGAACCATATAAACTACAGCGATATTTTCTTTTATTATTAATATCGGAAGTAAATTCTACACTGAGATAAACGCGCGCGTGCGCGTGTACATTTCTAAACTAGACGAAATACTTAAAACTCGAAGGCTCTCACAGTAAACGGTACTGCCCAGACTCTCGTATTGTCGTATCTACTTCAATTCATCGACATATGGAACGGTGCATAGATTGCCAATTGCAGCCATGGACAATTTTCCGCCAGCAAGTTTTCCGGCGACCTAAAAGTAAGAAACGTAGAGAGAACTAGCCGCTTTTAATAATATATAATTTGCGTGTGTACGTGTGTGAGTGAAAATTAAATATTTCATAATACTGAAAAAGTAAATTGACAAAGAAAATATAGAAATTTCAGGGAGACGAACGATACCGTTGGAGAAATAAACGTGCGTACCGATTTGACTTCAGATGCAGTTATTTTGTCTATTTCCGCAGCGAGATCAGACGGTTTGTACACGCATCCTTTTGCTTGATAAAGCAAAATTGCTTGCTGTCCCATACTTTCTAAGAACGCGGCGTCATCCGCGGCATATAATATTTCCGCTTTCAACGTAGTCTTACCCCGCGCGATATCGGCATCGGTAAGCTTGGGCGATCTTAGGTACGCAGTAGCAGCTTTTGTTACCTACAAAGATATAATTTATAACGCGTATACACGTACAACATGATTTCTGCCTGATGACACGTGTCATCGGTTGTGAGAGAAAGAGGATTTAATTTTTGTTAAACGACGATACTTACGGAACCGGCGACACTCGGTACCGAGGACAGAACAAAACCAAACAGTCCGGAATCGCTATAAAAAGCATAATATGCCGAAAGAGCAAAGTGGTCGGTGTTGGTCGTTCCAGAGATTGCCTTGTGCAGCGGTGACACGCTGGAACCCCATTTCACACGGGGACCAGAACCGATTGCTCTCTGCAATACGGCATAAGCGAGGACATCCTTATCTTCGTTTATCCCTGCTGCTTCAACGGCTACCGCGACAGTGGACAAATCCGATGATCGTTCCTTGCGAAGTTCTCCCCCATGATACTTGGTAGCTTCCACAGTATTATCTCCGGAGCCTACTTTTAGATTCGAAGCGAATTGCGTCGCGTCTGACAGCGCGACGCCCGTTGCTACGACCGCGCATTTGGAGCCGGTGAACCAAGTATTGACAAAATGTTGCAGCTATGCAAAAAAGAAAAAAGGGAAATGTTCTGCCGATGGTGCCTCTTGCGCTCATAGGAGGTGCAACATTACACGCGTACGTACAGTCTCCGTACTGATTTTCCCAAGTTGTCTCTTTGGCGAGTATAGAGAATAGCCTAGTCCAGTACGATAAGCTGCTTTGTGCAACAATTCCATTACGCGGGTCGTCTCGGGTATCATGGACAATTCATAGCGCAACCTGGGTAGCTGATCGGATATTTCCCACGGTTTGAACACTTGCTGCGTAGCGACATCCTCTAGGAAAGTCAAAGCTTTGCCCCTGTCAAAGCGTTGCGAAATACGATAATAAAAATGTTGAAAATTATTATTCTCAATTATACGTATTGACGTATAGATCTCCTAGGACCTAGGAAATGCGCAACTACTTACAGATGATTCCTTGTAATTTGTAACGTATACGTGATGCTTTCGCGATCAGTGGTAGCGGTTAAGTTTCCACCAAGTTGCTGGATATTCCTAGTTATTCCAAAGTAAGTTGACCTGCACGTGCTCAGACCAGCAGCAATTCGAATATGATGCGCCGTGCCTTGCGTGTCGTATGTCTCGTTGCGCGAGCCAGCTCTAGACAGCAACACACAGAAACGGAAAGAAATTATTTTATACAGGACAGGTATATGCGTCGTGGCAATATCATTTTCATACCTAAAGATGATTGATACTTGAGCAACAGGACTATTGTTGTCGAGTGCGGCAACTGTCACCTTATTGCTGGACAGTACCTCAAGTTCTGGTACCGCAGCGTTGGTACATTGAGCAGCTGCATAATGCCTTACCTAAGGTGGGATACAAGGAGTAAAGCATGTAAAGAGACATACCTGGAGTACCTCTATACTTTTGATTTTGCAATATTTATATTTATACATATATACTAGTAATCGTGCGTCATCCTAGAAGATAAGCGATAAACGATAGCATTTTCAAACTGACACAATGTATATGGAATGAAATTTCAAACGCCCACGCGTCCGTGAACGACGTAAAAAAATTAAAATAAAAAATTTCACGTCTGTCGAGATGCCTTCTTGCGATACGCGCACGTGCAAACGTGTTCGATTATAAAGTTACAAGATTACCACGTATCGTTCTTCAATGATTTACATAACACCTGTATTACAGATAATAAAATTAATGGCGAGCGACAAGACGCACGACTGTCTTTACGGCTGTCGGGGGCGGGGGTTTGCTGTACCGTAGGACTACGAAGAACGGACGACCGTACTGCGGAGCAGGCCATTTCTCGTGCTTTCCGTAGAAACGAGGAAGAGCAGAGTGAGCGTGAGCGGACACTGCAAACAGCAGACCAGTGACCAGTCACCGTCACCGTCACCAGACTCATGAGAGACGAGGACGTGGACGTCGTGGACGACAGACACGGCAC